CAGTGATTATGCTCGTCTTGCAGGGCCGTTGCGGCTGCTGTGTAACTCGGCGCAGGGTGGTCAAGAAGCGGTGATCGTAGTGTTTCCTATGCCGCACAGATGCAGAGATCATGGCAGACTAGGTGACATGTGTGGTGTCCTCCTCGTGGATATCTACACGAACCCCGAGGACAGCATGTGTTCTTAGCTGGTGTCTTACAGATTGGCAACTTCGTTTTGTAGTCACCCCGAAGAACCCTTTCTACGTGTGCCGCAACTGTCAACGACATGACCGCAAACTGGAGCTGAAGCTTGATTGAACGTTGGCCCAGAAGCAAGTGAGTTTGAGGCCGCCACGTTTTGTTTCGCATGCAGCTCTTTGCGTGGAGCGGTGGACGCTGAGGTGTGTTCGGTGTTTCACGACGAAAGCACATCATCAGGCGGCAGAGTTGGCTCTTGCGATGGCAGCTCTGGGGTGTGTGGTGGGCCGTAGCAGGAAGTGGAGCCCAGCCCAAAGGCCAAGGCCAAAGGACTGGGAAGGCCGGTCGCTCGGGGCCCGGGACGGCGTCCTGGTGCCGGTAGCAGCGGTGTCGCCTTCTGAAAATGGCCAGGAGTAGCACGCACGGCGGCGGCAAGTCGGCAGGTTTGGGCAGAGCTGGGACGCTTTCCATGGGCAGCTTGTCTTGCATGGCCTTCAGCAGACAGAGATCAACAACATGCATGTTTTCCTATTTTTTGGCATTTGTTGCAGAGCTGTCTCGTTAAAAGGGTTCCGACGTGGGAAAGCAGCTTGACAGGTTCGGACTACTCCTCAGGCAGCTCAGCTGAGAAAAGGTCTCCTCGAAATGGCATGTACGCCCGGTTCGGTGCACGGCATCATCTACTGAAGAGCCTGGTTTTCTTGCCTAGCTGTGCCACTAAGAAGCCGCGGCCTCGTCCTCTCTGGACGATGCTCTGAAGAGCTTGCCGAGCGGCAGCTGGGAAGGTCCTGAGCTGCTTTGCATCGATTGCTGTCCGAGTCAAATGCTTCCAGGTCATCTCTCCGAAGAAGGTGGGCGCAGAACCGTCGAGTGCCCCAGTGCAAGCTCCTGCGGCGCCCAGGGTCTCGGAATTCCCTCAGTGCTCCATTCAGGTACCAGCTTCGCTTCATGAAGACTGGTGTCGTTGTGGGCAAGGGCCCGAACGGTTGCCAAGTGGAGGGGAAGTTCTTCTGGAACAACAAGACCTACAAGCCCAGCTGCTCAGCTAAACCTCTCGGTTTCACGCTTATGCCGGGTGCCAACATATGTTAGGAGGGACGCCACCCTGCTACCCAAAGATGTGACATGAAACTCACCAGTCCATTAGATTCGGCAGTCTTGAGGTGTCGAATGGACAGTCGCTTGCTTGCATTGATCTCCAGTTTTGTTGCAGGCTTGCAGCCATTTTCATATGACGTCATATAGACCGATCTTCGGCGAAGGAAACCCACGATTGGGGAACATTGAGCTTCTGTGCCACTTGTCTGCACTGGTACTGAGATATCACGCATCAAAGCTGCCCGCTGCTCCTGGTACCAGCTTTGCAACAAAATTAAGGGTTCCGATTGAGAGCTTTGTACCCCTGCATGTTGGAGGGTGACATAAATAGACAGAGTTGTTGCACTGACTGAAAGCCAGAAGATTCGCGATCGTTCGACAGAGCTCCTGCATGCGAGGCTGATGTCGACCCGGCTGCGAAGCAGCTTGAAGGCAACTTTAAAGTGTCCGATGGCGGCCATGGTACGGCAACGTTGAAGTACGTGCCGGACGATACCTCTTGAAGTGGCGGCCGGAGCCACCGCACACCATGCTGTGCCGCAGTGCAGGGGGCTTCTCTCCGGCGTAAGGTTTGACTATGGTAGGGTTTGGGATCCACCGCTGAGATGGCTTGATGGACGCAGCATATCTGGGACACAGGATGGACCCAGAAGTTTGTCTTTTCAATTTAAATGCGTTGTGCTGGGACACTCCCAGAAAAACTGCTTGGTGCTCCGCAGAACTGACTGCTCACGTTACTGGATCCACGGCGAGAATAAGATCGAAACACGCTGTCTGATGCAAGCGGGGCGCTTGTTCGGGTTGGTGAATGGCCGTCCAGAATGGACTGGTCTGATGTGCATTAATAGAGGAAGCCATGGAGTGCCTTTGAAGGCTGTTGCTGTCCGAGACAGCAAGTGAAGCCTGGTGACCAGCTCCCCAAGTCGCGTCACTGCTGGTTTGGGAAGAAGTCCAGCATTCCCCGATTTGCCTTGCTGGCCAGCAAAGGGAGCGATTCTGAAATGCTTGTGCCTTGCGCTCTGCGGCGCCCGGCAGACCTGGAAAGAGCAGCTGATCTCAGCAGCCGTCTACATGGCCATCATTTGCGCCGTCCGTGACCTTAGCTTCTGGCCTTTCAGGGCAGTGGCATAACTGTTGGTCTGGATGTCACGCAGGCAGGTTGGCTGTACGGCCAGTTCTGCACGTACGAGTATTCAAGCCTTCGGCAGGACAGGTCCAGATTTGTTTTGGGGATCCTTGCAAGACATCAAAGCTCGTCGCCGTACAGAAGCCTGCGCGGACGAGGGGGCAACTCAGCAAGTACCAGTAAGTCTTTGCTAGTTGCGAAGCAGGCTTCAAAGCCAAAGCCTGAAGTCTCCGGTCACATCACTTGCCTTTAAGTTTTGCAGAAGCCAGGGAGCCGTAGTTGTGCGCTTAGCTGTCAGATGCTGCCAGTAGCTAAGCAGCTAAGCAGCTAAGCAGCATGGGCATGAGCAATTGGCAGGAGCCGAAAATCTCTCGCGATTCTTTCAGCTTCGGCCAGGAACCGATCGTGAGCATGTCAACTGCTCGAGGTAGCTTCGTTACTGCTCTTCTGCTGAAGGTCTGTGCGACGGATGCCGATGCGATCCGGACCACCGAATCTGCCTCTGGGCCTGCTGCTTTCTCCCGCGCGGCCCCCAAGTTGAAACGAGCATCTGCGACTGGCACTTCCAGCCCGGATGGCAGGATCCGATGGGCGGACACAGCCAGCTCGCCGAAGGTCAACTTCATGAGGTACTGGCCAGGCTGACCGGAGTTCTCAGCGGCTTTGGGCACGAGATCTTTGAAGAGAGCCGAAAGTGTAGGGCTGGTCTGGAAAATACCACGGGGCTGCTGAGACAGAATCGCTCACCAAATACGGAATTGCTTCAGTCTTTGACTCGTCGTCCAACAAACAACAAAGCTCGAGTGCGGGGCAGCAGGTATCTTGACAATGACTCTGTTGTTCAGCCTGATTAACCTGTCGTGCAGGACTCAGAGCGTGTGAAAGGTTCAGAATCGAGCATCTTCACTTCAGAGAGTGCTTGCGCCAGTGCCCAAAGTGGTAAGGTACGGAGTTACGGCGCTGCTGGCCCTCCTGCTGATGGTGCTGAATCGTCAGAGGATCCGAAGTGCTTACAACTTGCCACACCGGACGTTGCCGCCTGAGCTCCCGAAGTACAGAAGTGCGAATGAGTCCGGAGAATCCAGGCCAGTAACCGATGGTGACTCCTGTAAAGCCCTCGAAAGGTGCTCCACCTGCTCCGTGGATTTCCTGACTTGGCACGAGCCTCTGTGGACATGAAGAGTCAGCTCTTGATGTTTCGCGTCTTCCATTCCAGCATCGCAAGCCGAGGTTCTTCTGTCCGCCCTGCGTGCACGTCTCAGGCAGAGACCGCACTAGTACAAGGCTTTCTGGTTGCTCGGACTGAGGCAGCCATGCAGGAGGCAATGCAAGTGGAATTCATCGACAGCGCCATGGATGCCACCGCACTTTGGCTATCCTGGTGGCTTGGGATGGCAACGGCGAGTGGTGCGATAGATTCAGGTCCCAAACATGATGCAGATGGGCCCGTGTTCTGCTCAGCCCGGTATTCTTGGTTTATCGCGGTTGATGTACGAGTTGACATTGAGGATGAACAGCGCTTTCCTGACGGCCCCGGCCACAGGTGCAGAATTGTAAAGCAAGAGCAGCTATAGAAGCTGGAGAATGACATCCGCGCGATTCCGGGCGGTGCCCTGTGTCCATGCCAGGCCAGCTTGCCGCAGGACAGCGGAGGCAACAGAGCTCATGCTGCTGATGCGGCGGACAAAGCTCCTTCCGAAGACCAGCGTCAGCTGCCTTGCGTCAAAAAGTAAGCAAGAGCTCGGGCTGCACAGGAGTATGTGGCAGTGTTGTATCTCTTCATTAACGTATATTTGGCACATTTTGTATAAACTGCATCTTGTAGCCATTTGAGAAGGCATCGCCCCTGTATTCGTTCTCTGGTAGCCCGTTGGATTTAAGGTTTTAAGGCTTTGCATCATGCCGAACCCCAGGCTTGGAGAGTCGATAGCCTAGGCCTAAACATCAAGCCTACTGCATTGGATTGTGGTTTCATGTCACGAGAGCTTCTCGCTTTGTGGAGCTCGCGGGAGTTCTCGCTTACCAAGTCACCTCCAGGTGTGGTCGTTCAAGCATAGCTTAAGGAGGGGGACTACGTAGTGTGGAGTACTAGTAAGTACTTGTGTACTAGAGTACTACTGTGTTTGTACTAGTACAGTTGTACTCGTACTGATAGCAGCAGGAGGAGGAGCAGTAGCAGTAGCAGTAGCAGTAGCAGTAGCAGTAGCAGTAGCAGTAGCAGTAGCAGTAGCAGTAGTAGTAGCAGCAGCAGTAGTAGTAGTAGTCGTAGTCGTAGTAGTAGCAGCAGCAGTAGTAGTAGTAGTAGTAGTAGTCGTAGTCGTAGTAGTAGTCGTCGTACTAGCAGTACTACTGGTAGCAGTACTCGCAATACTCACAAGTACTCGTAGTACGTAGTACTCGTAGTACTAGTAGTACTTGTAGTACCAGCAGCAGTAGTAGTAGTAGTAGCAGCAGCAGAGGAAAGAGGAGGAGTAGTGGTCGTGGTGCATCATGAATCAGGATCAGCATGCTGTGATCATTCTCATGTCAGTTGGTTTTGGTAGGTGCTCGTGAATGTACACGCATGAATTTGTCCGTGTATATTCGCACATGGCCAGGCGCAGTTGCAGCTGGCATCTGAGACTCAAGTCGTGAGTTCATCAGACTGAATAAGTGGCTCACGTATCTTCACGTCGAAAGCCTGCCACAACCTTCGTCAGCAGGAATCTGCAGCTGCAGGAATTTTCCATACCATTTGTTGTTGCACAGTTTGAATGCCAGAAAGAGCGCAAGAGAAGTCTGAAAACTCTTGAGTTTTGAGTTTTCGGGCACTTGCTTCCGAGGCGTGAGCGGCATCGGAGAGACGGCGGAATCGGAGCGTCTTGGTGCATTTGTTTTTGCTGTACTAGTTCTAATTATTTCTTATTAACTTGAAAGGGACTGCCGACGCTTCGCACTTTCAAAAGCTTTGAGCTAAGCCCAAGACCCTAACGGCCCAACTTATCCGGCAGTCAGGTGGCCTTGCAGAAGGCCGATGGCTAGGCACTAAGTCAGTGCAGATTTTGTGTTGTGCCTCGTATGTAAGGTTGCCTAGGTGATCCAGTCTTTGATGTTGTGAGCCTGCAAATCTGCAGCTCTGTGTGCTCTTTTTCATCCTGCTCGGAACATGCTGCCGCAAACCAGCTGCCTTTGGATCCTGTTGAAGTCTGAAGCGATGAAAGTGTAAGTTTCCCTTCATCATGCCTCGGATGCAGTCGTGTTGGACTCGAAAGCCTCCGGTATGGGATGTTGCGATATGTTGCGATTCACGCACGGCTTCTGCAGCTCGGCTCTGCTAAGCATGACAGCACAAATCACATGAGAATGGTCACCTAGTGTTCAACAGTGCTTCTCAGGTCCGCTTTGGACAGCACATGCGGAAGTTGATCCCATTCTTGGAGACTGCGCGCCCTCTCAGGACCGAGCCACCCAACATCTGATTCGCCAGCTCCTTTCGTTCAGCGCCAGCCTGCAACTTGTGTTGTTTTGAAGGGAGCCATGTCCAGTGGGGCTCTTCTTGTGCTGAGGGCGCTTGAACAGCAGCACTTGCCACAGCATCGATGTTCGTTCGCAACAAAACAGCTGGTCTGCTTCGCTTGCTCTGATCGCTCGGTTTAGGGGTTGCTACCGGGAAGGACAAACCATATTGCCGTTTCGAGCTTTTAAGCAAGCTAGTGAGCTACTTTGACAAACCGGCACAGACCGCACACCTACACTGTAGCTATCTGTCGGAAGACTTGCTTCTGGACCGGCTGGGCGTTCTCCCCTTTGATCGCAGAAGACCAGAGCAACCCAGCAGTCGCGGAGTTGCGGGAGGGTGAGGAGCTTGCTGGAAACCGCAGACAAGAGACCGAGCATGCAAGCTATGCTACAGTTTTTCAAGCACCCAGTGGAACATGAACCGGAGCCCCCGCCCAACTCTGTTGAGCCAGCCGCCCAGTCAGAACTGTTGGCCAAACTGTTTAAGTGGGGATGTTTTACTTGCCCATGCACTGCCTTCAGCACATAGACTCCCAGTCTGGCATCTAACACGGTTATTGCCAGAGCTGCCAGTCTACCTTAAACGTTTCTTGTTTTTGTTTAGGTATGTTTTAGGAGGCTGTGAATCCCGGATACTTCTATGCAACCCTTTTCGGCCATCGGGATTTCCTAATGATGAATTGGGCTGGAGTCGACCAAGGGAACCAGGGAATCGCTCACGTCACAACCGTGGTTTCATTTGTATGTGTGTTCTCCTGCATGTTTCGCTTCTAATGGCGTTGTTTTGTGAAATCTTGGGGACGAGGTGGAGAATTTGATGTGTTCTTGGTCTCCTGGTTTCTCAGCTTCATTGGAATACGCCTCGGCATACGTGTTTTCTGTGCAGCACGTGGCCTCCACTTTGACAAATACGTGTACCTTTACAAGCCTATCTCCTTACCACAGCTTGAATGAGGGTTAGCGTGCGTGCTTTGTGCAGCCAGTCCAAATTCGCCAAAAGACCGGGATATCAGCCCCCATGCTTTCTCGTTTGTTGCAGTGAGCAGCTGCTGCAGGACAGCTCTGCCGAAGAGGAAGAGCAACACCGGCATTGGTTGGACTTGTCGGGTGGGATGTGTTGGGGCTTCGGCATCACGGCGCCCGAAAGGTTCCCTGGCGACTTGAGGCCACCATGCGCCACGATCTCAGCGCAGCTACACGTTCCGGAACCCCGCCAGCTTGAGAAACTGGTGCATCCTGCCAGGAGGAGTCAAACCAGGCACGCTGGCACGAGGAGAAGGCAGCGCAGCACCTGCTACAAATCTTTCGGATGGTGTGGCCATCCTTGAAGGAGCAATGGTACCAGGAGCAGTGGCATGAGGATGTCAAGGCCTTCCACTGAGTTCGTTCGGGAACATGCACTGACATCAGCTTCAGCATGTGAAGCGGCTTGTCGTGCTCTCGCTGGTGGATTTGATACTTCTGTTTCAGATCATCAGCAGGAATCAGAACGCGACCGGGGTTGGTGGCGGCAGCAGCCAGCGGAGGCACCACCCTGACATGGTGCCCGTTCTGACTTTGAAGCACACTGCCGGCATCACGAAGCCAATGCGGTTTCAGCTGAATCGAGCCGTAGCCATCCCCTGCACAAAGATCAGCGATTTGTCGACCAGTTGAACATCCAATGAGCTGAATGCAGGAGAAGAAGTTGGATGCCCGTGCACAGGCGCATGGTCTTGCAGCACAGCTTCTGGCGTCGACAAGTTTTTTTGAGGTAAGCCTAAAGCTGGGGCCTTGTTGGTGCCTGACACAGTTGTGAAGGAGACCGGGAGAGATTGGCAGACTGGGGACTATCTCCACCAGCAGCGTCAGAAGGCCTGGATGCGAAGCTGAGCATCTCACACGTGTTGCGCATCAGAAGCTTGCCTGCATCTCTGGAAGGAAAGCCATCTGGCAGATATGGCCAAGTTTGCCAGCTTGTTGAATAGGCACAACTTGCCCCGCGAGGTGACTTGGTGATGGTTTAAAGGTTTGGGATGCTGTGAGCCAAGTCGCAAGTCCCGACAGCAACCGCCAAAAAGGCAGCTGGTGCACCAGCTACACTATCCTCTCCTATCAAGACGAGCTTGGATGGGCAGTCGGTTGAGGCATACGCTGCGCAGATGACCATTGGAAGTGTGACAAACCGCGTTTCACGTGCGCGGGCGCTTAGGCGAAGCAAACGCCCGATACACGGCAACAGCCGCAGGAACCGCTGCAGGAACAGTGACAGCACCGAGCGTTCGCCAAAGCTGCCTGAGGGACCCCTCAGCCTCGCTGCAGGAGATCAGGGAAGAAGAGGCGCCGCCAGTCGAAGGGGCTGCCTGGCGAAATGGAAAATGTTTGAGGGACGAGGGGAGTAGATGGTCACGCGCTCCGCGCGCCCCCCCCCCCACGTTTAGCTGAAGCTTTTCAGTTTGGGGTTTGCTGTTAAGCGGTATCAGGGTTCGATCGACACGGGCTAGGTTCGTTAGAGTTGACAGTTCATATTCTGCTTTAGGCTTAGAGCTTGCGTTTAGGCGGGGTTTAGGGTTGGGTGTAGGGTCTAACGTGCAGGTTAAGGTTAATAAAAACAGGAGCATGCGCTATCTTATGGGGTTTGTGGCTTGCGTAGGGCTTGCGTGTGACCCCTGGCCGCCCCAGCACCAACCCCACCATCTAGCAGCAACAGCTCCGATCCCTATCCGCACACGCCAACGCCCCGGCTGGGAACGCCAGACGCGTGATCATATATATCGAAGCAGACTGTCGCCACTCCGTGAATTCCACTTTTGCTT